TTCCTGGGTGCTGGAATTTTTGGCGACCTGACCGATTTAGCGGGCATAAGCACAATGCAATTACTCAATTTTGTCAACTGGGCATACTGGTTTGTGGTTTGTAGAGCAGGGATCTCTTTAACACATCGCTTTTGGTATCACAACGGGACCATGTGAGGGAGTAAGTGTGCCGTCACTTCAACCTAGCCTAATATAAAGGAATAATTTCAAGTTTCTGAAATACCCTAGTAAACATATTCACTTAATATCACATATTGAGTACATAAATATGTATGGATATCAACATCTGCTTGCGCATGAAATAGTGAGTCGTGAATTGAGAATAAAACTTCCACCATTTCACTAAAAACAGTTGAATGAATTTGCTTTTTATTACTTTGGCTGCTGTCTCGTTTGGTGTTGGCCTTGGAGTTGGCGTTGGATACATTGTTTTCTGGTTGCCCACTTGATGGTTACTTATGTTTCTCTTCGTTCCACTGTCAGCATTTTGTTCTTACTGACGGACCATTGGATGCGGAAAATGCTGTTCGAAAAGTTTGCAAGTTTATCTTGCTACTAAACTGATGTGGCAAAGATCTACGCACACGCAAACACAAACACACGGACATTTGTATGCAATACACAGTCAAACGCCACTTGCAAGCTGCCATAAAACTAGCAACAACAAAATGGAAAGAAAAACAATTTGTAGGCAAGAATGCGGATGGTTGGTTGCCTGATTGAAAGTCATGCTATATATTTAGTACATAAGGGGTATTCTCTGAGACTTACAAAGCCTCTGCACGGTGCACAGATTGCACGTATTGCACCGTAAAAACCGGTTTTCGTATGCGACAGCTTTGCAAACCGTGCAATTCGTGCACCGTGCAAGGGCTTTGCAAGACTCAGAGAATACCCCTATTTATAGTGTATTCTTGAGTATAAGAAAATTAAAGAAAAGCACGGCAGAAGTTTGTGCCACAAGTGCAACCAACTGACAGCCAACAACAATAACCGCAGCAAGTTCGCTGGTTATAAATGAAGTATGCGCCAAGTCGATATTTAATTTATAAATAACTTTTTTAACGTATTTCATGAATTCTAGTGGTAAAACTTTGGCAATTATAAAAAGGCTAGAACAATAAAAATAACAATGCATATATGTGTGTATGTAGCGCACACCGGCTTGTGCTCATTACCAGACATCGTTGAACTGAAAAATAATTTATGGCGTTTTCGTTTCTAAAAAAAACATGTTGCCTTCTCATTGCCCTTTCTATAGTATTTGTGCGTAGAAGGCACTGCGAAGGCAACATTTTAAGGTAAAAAAAAGTAGGTATTCTCTCCTCCTCCGCTGGTTTCGTGCAAGCGGTTGTGTATTCCTCTGCTTATAAGTAGACAGGTGAAGTAAGTAGCTGCGTGTTAAAAAATTACGAAGTGAGAAATTTCATTTTAAATAAGAAAAATAAGTTTGACTTGCGGTTAATCATACTTTGCGGGTTGCAATGACGATGCGATGGCGGTAAGGCAAACGCCAGTATGCCGAGAAAAAATTTATAAAGCCATGACGAAGGTAATGAAGAAAATTTAAAACTCATTTTGAAGAGAAAGATGCAACGTGGCATTATTTAATGAGATACAGAAACTTTCAACGGGCGAATTTCGAATGGATTTGTGTAGTTATAAAGCTATTTAGTACATTGTATATACACTAGGCGACAAATTATATTGTATACCTTTTTCTAATATAATATAAAATGAGTCAAAGTTTCACAATTTATATAAAGTTCACAAAAATTCAAAAAATTTGCATCCAAATTTTTAATTCATATTCAGAGTTTCTAGAAAATTTTCGAGTATGCAGTTTACTACCCCATTTTATTATTCATTCTGAAAACACTAAACATCCTATTGATTTTTAAGATTTTTTTTTTTGGTGACAGATTTTTGCACTTTTTTCCATATATAGTACATTAGCATGAATTTCTTATGAAATTAAATACGGGAGACCGATACCACCAAACATTTATAAAAAATTTACACCAGTAAATTGCACTTGTTATACGTAAAAAAATCTCAAAAATCAACGCGATTTTTTTAGCCGGTTGCAACTTGCACTTTATTCGACTATAATTGAATGGACTACAAAACTGCACACTGAAAAAAGTTGAACATTTGTTTGAGGTGTACACATTCATTTGTCGCCTAGTGTATGTAATTCAAAAGGATGTTTTCGGTTGCAAAAGTCCACGCATTCGGGCAAAAAATTTTATGACCATAGCTAGATAGATAGACGTCCGTAGAGTGAACGTCCGTAACCTCTGGCCACCACACTCCCAGTTGTGTTAGCCTTTTTCCTGCAACCGCATCACCATCTAAAAGTAGTTGCAGAGGGGTATCTGCTGCCATTTGAAAATAACGACAGGAGTCGTCTGCGCTGATCCCCAGCGTGTTCAAATAGGACCGCAGCTTGCAGTGACCCTTGGGGTTGTTACTTCCAAGAAGCCCAGGCGTATTCTCCAAATGTGCCTTTCCAAGCTGACGTACTTCTGCTCTTACCTCTTTCCTGATGGTATGAGGTCTCACTACACAGAAGGCTTCAGTTCCTATAGTCCGTGTAGCTGCTGCTTCTTTTGCTAGCATTTCAGCCTCTTCGGTGCCCTGTATGCCTTTGCGGCTGGAGACCCACTGCAGTTGCACTGTGTTGTCTTCCTCCTGGGTGTTCAATCTCGCTGCATATTGCCATACTACCCGCAACTTGAACTCACACGAGGATATGGCCTTTAGTGCACCCTGATGGCCATGGCCATCGTACTTGGCGATATTAAGGCCAAGGCGGGCTAAAAAGGGCTATTTGGTCTCACCGTCAGAAAATTTAGATACCACATTCATGCTAATTACGTACCGCCGCGGCCGTCAGATTTCAGCAAGTTGTAAACAGCTGACGAGGAATGTGACGAAGCTGCAGGGAATAAATATGCCAAGTACAGTGCCACGCTGCCATTGGGGGACAGACCAGCTATGTGTGTGTGTATTTGCCATAATGAAAAGAGAGACCCCAAAATACGTGCCTGCGAAGAGCTCGAAAGGAAAAATGGCCTAGAATGTAATCAGGAAGTTAGGTGACTAATAGAAGGTTTTAAAACTAGGGCGAATTCTAGTAAGAAGAACACGACGACCAAGTGATTGATGTTCAGAACTTAATTAGGTTATGGAGTGAACATTTATCTGGCCTACGGAATGGTAACAGCACAAACACCACCGAAAAAAATGAACCCCAGCCCTAAGCCGAAGAGGGAGCTTTAAAATGTAACGGAGAGTCACTCTTGTCAACAGGTTCTACTTCGAGTTAAGTAGGCAACTGAGAAGTAGTAGGTATATTCCTCTACCGTCGTACAAAAATCAACTCTTGGGGTACTCGATAGAAAGATGTCTCTGAAGAATTGCAGGTCCTTTCGCAATGGTAATGGCAAGTACCGCAGACGATGGCACGATGAGCTGCATGAGCTTTAACGACGACATGGGCATAGTGTGGCGGATTAAAATCCAGAGCCTACGCTGGCTCGGTCATGTTGTACGAATGGGCATACAAGTTGAACACAAACAGGTTGAACTGCAAAGCCAACTAGTTTTAGCTGGCTTTTAATCGGTAGCTTTTACTGGATGTATCGTCGATCGATCATTCTATTTTCGTATGACCGGATACAATTTTTAAGTCTGCAAGTGTATTAAGGTAGGTTGGTAGGTTAGTGGGCTGCCTCCGTAGATAGAGGCGCACTTGGACACGACTGAGACGACGTTGGGATGCCCTTAATAGGGAAGAGGGAGCAGGGAATAGTGAAGAGGGAGGAGGGAAAAGGATGCAGGAGTAGGAAAGGACGGGTAAGGGGAGGGAGGATGACGACACTTGTGGCTTCTTGTATGATAAACGTGCTCGCAACGAAGCTCTTCAAGCGACTCATGTCCAATCCCGAAAGCTCGTCGGGAATGTGAAAAATGCGACCCAAGGCGCTTAAATCTTAGGCTCGCAAAGTTCGGTCACCAGAGCAGCAGGTGTTGAGATGATTTCACCTCATCATCCCCCATGCAGCTGATGCAGTAAGGGTCATCGATGATATTCAGCGTTACGGCATGTTACCTATCGCGCAATGACCAGTTAGCTCTCTTACCAATAGCGATAGATGTAACATGCCTAGTCTCAAGAGTTACACAGACCGCCTCCAATCTACACGTGGCCGGTAGGATTTAGCCACCATCGCCCATCGTTCGCTGAGCTGGGTAAACGCCCATACGTCTATAAGCAAATCACTTGAGGTCTGGGAACTCCCAGACCTAAACTAGTGTTTAACCTAGTCCCACTTTTTGCAGGGTATATACATATATATATATGTGTATTGGAATTTTTGTTTTATGTTGCCCGATCCACCCTCTCTGTAGATAGAATGGCCCCACTAGGTCCATTCGTTTTGCGTTCACACAGCTAAATTGCTAATTACGGCTGATTGAACACTTTAAAGAATTGCCTAGTATTGACGAAGATAAATATTGTACCCCCAATAAGTGCACACACATAGATCTACGTACATATGTAGGCATGTGCATTTGTACATTAAAAAATTGCTTCACATACAAAATTCAATTGGTTTTATTGAATTGGAAGCAAGCATATTTTCCAAATAAATATTTATGTGTGCTTACAAACATAGATAGCTTACGTAGAGCGTATTTGCACTGACTTAATGTAACAACTAGTGGCAAAGTGCCAAATCAATTTCACCCTGCTCGCTGCAGAAAACATACTACATAAGTGTGGTAAATACACAAATAAAATAAATAAATATTTATTGAAAAAGCATTTATGTTGTGGCCTAAGGCACGCATATACTTACATACAAACAATCAAACATTGTACATAGAGTTTCGCATATGTTGGTATTGAGTAAATGTGTATGAAGTTGATTTTCGCTATCGCAAACAAAACGCTGAGTATCGCAATATTTCTCGCTTATTTCCGCTATCAGGCGCAACGCATCATTGACTAAAAAATTGACGCTGAAGTTGACAGCTGTGGCGGATGACGATGATAGAGATGGTGATGGTGATGGTGATGGTATCAGTGTTGCTGTAGCTGTTGGTGGCGTTGCTGTTCACAGCATAATGATGTTGCTGCCAAGAAGCATGATTGTGGCATATCCCATTATTGTCAGATATTACAGCTTATAGCAGCTATTTCCGGTATTGCCGCTGCTTTTGTTATTAATGATGCCTTGGTGGCTCAGGTGTTGCTGATGATGCTGCTGTTGCTGTTGCTTGATTCATCCCCAGCAAAGCGAGCTATTTGATCTTTCACTTTTACAAGGCAATATTTCATTCATTTATTTGTATGTAAGGTTATCTGTAGAATCTAGCGGCAGCCATGTTTTGCTTTTATAATAAAATTGATGGTCTACAATGTTTTATGAATTGATTTATTTCCGAAACATATTTTATTCAGACGAAGGTAGATGAAATAAAACGAAATTATATACTTACAAAATTGCACTCACCCACTTCGCTCAGTATATGAAATTTCTGCGTGCTACATTAGGTATATTTGACCTACGAAGTCAAATATGGTTTCACTATTTTGACAATATTTTCCCAACTAACGAGTGTTATAAAAACCTATCAAACTAATTGAATGCATTGATAAAATAACTACGAATAACGGAACTAATTGGTTTGCCTATGCTTAGGTGACATTTCAATACAACCACACTTTTTTTTGTACGTGGTCAAAACACGTCAAAACATTCGTGGGCACGGAACTCAGTTGCAAAAAATAAAAACTACACTGAGAAAAATCAGCCAAAAACTGGTTAATATTACCAAATTGAAAAGGAATCAACTTGATTTTTGGTTAATATTAACAATGCCATGGTTGATATTTTAAACAAGCATTTGGTAATATTAACCAGATTTTTTGGTTATGTCCTTCACAGATGCTTTTTCATAATTCGGAGATAAAAAACACACACTCAGCTACAGCCGCTTTATAAATGCGGCTCCGAATTTCAACTTGAATCAATTTTCTTCGCCGTTTGATTTGATTTCGCACTTCACAGATGCTTTTTCGTAATTAAGAAAATCGAAAAACAGAAAATAGTATAGAAATTATGTGTTGCCGCTGACGGCATTCGAACCCGAACCTGCTGGAAGCCAATCAATAACAGCAAGCACCTCTGCACGTTCAGCTACAGCCAGACATACCAATTTGTTTTCCATCTTAAACTAGAATCACATTTCTTACCATCAGTGTATTTACCATGAAAATACCATACAATAACTTGGTTGTAAAAACCATTGTAGGTTTGGCTCAGTGCAATTGCAAAACGTAAAATAAAAAATTTGTTTTTGATCCACACATCCTCTCTGTGTCATTCAATAACACTCTACGACATATTTAGTTTTTTTTTTGGGGGGATTTGATGAAACCAAGTTTTTCTGAATGTCTGGAATAAATGTATGTATATGTATAGAAAATTAATTTCTCAGTTTTCCTAGGTTACAAGCGTTTTTTATCAATTTGAAGTTGGTGGTTGTAAAGCAGCATTTAGAAGTATTAAAATGTATTTAAATGCAAATATTTATAAATTAAAAAGGCCCCCTTGTGGGTTTTAGGATACGAGTAATCTGAATTTGCATATTATTTTTACCAAAAACTGCCGCTATGGTACACTTTGGAAGGAACATTCAGGAAAAGTGCAAACAATGTTGCTAAACAATGTTTCTTCATGTTCCTTGTACCCGAACCCCCTTCCCGTCTTGGACATATTTCGAGGAGGATAAAATCTCAAAATCTAAACTTTATTTTTGGACTTATGGGCACCAAATATCACTGTGGAACGCCAAAAGCCATAGAGGCGATCGATTTTAATGCTGTAAAATGAGGTTCTCTCCTACTGGTCAGTATATGCATAGTTTTAAAATTTTTTAATATCTGCAACTGATTAATAGTGAATTTTTTACTAAAAACAATATAAAAAAAATAGTCATAAGTCATTTTCTCCATGTTTCCGCGATAAAAAATTTCTCTATTTCAAGATAATTACATTTTGAACTCTAATACTAAATCTTGAATCCGACCGCGGGCGATATTTTGTTTAGGACGCGATTTTTCTGAAGATAATTTTTCTAAGTATTTTTTTTCAATCGATTTCGTGCAGGAAGTACGTTTTTAAGAATATATGGTAATTCAAAAACATTTTTATTTAAGAATTTTAAATACATACTTAAAAAACCTTATGTAATTGCTTATTTATTAACAGCACTCCGGACTAAATGCCCCAATGGCTACTCTTTAAGCAAACCAAATCTTAATTTGTCGCTAACATTTGCCAAGCTCATCACGTTTTATTTATTTTATTTTCCAATTCACTGTTAGTCATTATGCGGCTACTCCCCTTCAGTTGTTGTGTCTTTTCAAAAACACTTTTATGCATACATGCATAAATACAACTTAAGTGTAAGCCAGTCGCAATTGTTTCGTCAGACCTCCTTTTTGCACGCAGCTCATTGTCGTTTATATTCGACAACCGTTTGTTTTGAAAGTTCTACGCGGCCCAGATAACCTAACAAATAAGTATGAATTTCAAACTTTCATTGGGATTTATTGCCAACCCTCCCATCTGTTTACTGTTGTCACTCCTTGCAACGTTCCATAATTAAACATTCCTGCACAGACTTTCTCCTCATGCGTTTAGTTCAGTTCTTTGGCGACACAATCCCTTACTTTAGCGTGAATATGCTGCAGCATTTTATTTAATTTTCACTTCTTCTAATTTGCACTCTCTTATCCTAGCTACACCCCGAATTTCGGCGCTATCAAATTTATTATATCATTTTACGCCATTTTGAGATTTCATTTATTTATCAATGGTATAATGGAAGTTGATACAATTGCCTACATATTGTTCAGCTAGTAGTACTTTGCTGTACTCCCAGGGTGCTAGTAATCATATCTGTGTATGTATGCATGTATGTATGTATGTATGTATGTAGCAGCAACTTTCTATCTGCCACGTTTATTCAAGCGCGACTTTTCCTTAGCCAACTGTGTAAATTTTTTCTTTGTTGATTTTTCCCTTGTTTACATTAATTTGGCAATTTTCTTCAAATTATATCACCTTCGCGCAGCATTTACTGGCATTTGTTGCGTCGCAAGGTTATTAAACATGTTTATGCTTTTGTTGTTGTTGCTCTTTCTGCTATTTAATTTTCACGAATTTTATCACAGCACTTAATTGAGCTTTTACTTCTTAGCTCTGCTTATCCTTTACTAATTAAATTGCGAGAATTTTCGCCCACTATTACTCGTTACTTTTACTTAGGTATTTCTTTAATTCTTCTGAGTTGCTCAAAGCTTCCTCAAATAAAATAATGCTCAAGTTATTTGATCCTAATTAACGGTATTACATTAAGGAAACAGGTAAATATGCATGCATTCTTATGTATGTCCCAACTAGTCTTAATCGAGCCAGTTCTCGGTGGAATACAAATTATATCTGAGGTCAATGTTTGTGCCAAATTTTGACTAAATTTACTATTTCAGTATGAAGAAGCCCTTATCTCTCGTAGATTGTCTTTATAAGCATGAATATAATTTTAGTTTAATATCGCAGAAAAATGTTTATATTACATATTTTATTTAGCATAAGCGGAAAAAGTTGGTTTTAAAAGTGTGGCAACTCTCGTAAAAAATTCATTTAAAATAATGTGATTTGAATATGTAAGATGCCTTGATATAATATTTAAATTAACTAATTAACTAAGCTAAAGTTGACTTTTAAGATAGCCAGCAATCCTCTTCAAAATATTTTGGGATTTCTTTAAGTTTTTCTTTTGGCAACTCTTTTATTTAACCTCTCATTTAATTTAACTGGAACTTTTAAACTAGTCGCAAACGCCGTATTGTTACGATTATCCTCGAAACCTTGAGAGATTTCCCAAATATACTCGGGCTCGTATCGCTGGATTGTTAAATAAATGCTA